TTAAAATAAACTAGACCGTGATATTTCAAGGGAAAACATCACAAATACCCCACACATATATAAATATTCAATTTTTACTACTTTACTAAAATGAAAATTGGAATTACTACATTACTACAAAAGAACACCACAATTACTGTAATCAAATCTTTCTATATTTTCAACCGTAACTGTAACCACAATTACGCTGCACAATAGAAATGGATGGTTCTATTTGAGAAAGCTGAAAACGTGGAAATTTATATTCAAACCAGGAAAGTAATGGTGCAGTAAGGGCGTCAATGGTGACAGTGACGAATCCATCTTCGCAAATGTGGAAAATTCGCCTCTGGTCGATATTCATCCTCTGTTAAATCTAGATTAGGTACTTCAATAGAACTGATTCATTAGTTTTTGCTTCATAACGAGAAAGAAATTTAGTTTTTTGTTTCGGATGGATGCAGGTATGAAAAGCTTGAATGTCTTCATAACATGCAATGCAATGACGTTTGGTATTCTATTACCAAGTGGATGCAAGTACAGGATCTAGTTCTCATGATATCCGTCGAGATGAAAGTAGATAAAAGGAGTTATTGCTTGAAGATAGATTACGATGTAGGTGATAACATGGCCCCAGTGAGTATAACAAATGACAATTCACTCTTGTTCTATATGGAGATAAAGAAGGATCGTCGAATAAACGTGTGTGCACTACGTGTTGTAGTATGTAGAACCAAAATGCAGTTGATTTATGAAGAAGTACAGAATTCGATTTCAGCAGACTATCCTCAATCGAAACCTTTTCAACTGTGTATATATAAGTATCATTCATCTACCACAGTTCCAAAAATGAAGGACTTTGCAACACCAATGTAGATTTCAAATCAAACACCAGTTGAAGAAGATTTTAAGGATAATAACGTTCTGATTACGAGACCTAGTGGAAGCACAAGTATCTTACATTTTCATAATCAGATGCCAATGAAACAAGCACAAGTAATTTTTGCCAAAAAATTTCCTAGTTTACCCGTATTTATATTTGTCAATATCAAGATTAAGTGAGAAAAATGGTTATAACAAGGCAAATTAAATGAGGGTATAATAGTAAACAAACAAAATAAAACATTCTTAATAAAGAAACAGGACTATATAATTGAGACAAGAAAATAATGAAAGTCAACCTATAGAAATGGGACGGAGGAGTATATATTTTTTCACAATTCTGAAATCTAGTATCCAAATTAAGTATATATAACTTCTTAACTTAGTTTGACAAGGGAAATCACTTAAACTAAATCCTCAAATGGAGGTTACAAATTCAGTTCAAGAGGGTCTTAGTGCTCATGGTTATTTTTGCCAATTAATCTTCCAATGTGACAGTTTGTACGCATGTTTGGTATACATTATTGAAAAATATTATTCCTACAAAATCATTCCTAGCAGCCCGGCACTTATTTTTTTTTATTGAAACTTGACATAGATGCTCTAGCGGCAAAGAAGATATCCTACATGCTTTGAGAGATTGCCAACGATTGAAGGATATTTGAAGCAGACTGCTACCTAGCAACAGAGGTAACTTCTTTATATTGCCTTTGAATGCTTGGCTAATGATAAATATCACAAGCTATGCAAATTTAAATGGCGTCCCTTGGTCCATTATATTTATGATTACCATCTGGCTATTAGGGTATTGGCGCAATCGTGATATTCATGAGGACAACTTTTAGCGGCCACTTAGCCCGACAAAAATTGTAATAGGGAAAGCTAAGGAAGCATGGGATGTGATGGGGAAGTTTCAAACAAGACTCAAGTTTGAAGCCCTTATTGGTTGGACTAGACCTCGTGTACATTTTGCGAAGGTTAATGTGGATGGAAGTGCAAGGGGTCAACCAGGTCAAGCAGCTACCAGAGGTGTCTTAAGGGATGATGGTGGTTCATGGATTAATGGTTTTACTTTTAGAGTTGGAATATTATGCATCTTATCAGCAGAGCTTTGGATCATGGTTTCGTACTTTGTTGGGAGCAGGGTTACAAATTGGTTGAGCTAGAGACAGATTCTCTAGTTACGATTCAAAAGATCAATCATCATACATTTGGTCAAATCCTCATTTACATTTGATCGATGTAATTAAAGACCTTCAACATCGTAATTGGTCTACACCATAAGACATATTCATAGGGAGGCAAACTACTGCGCGGATGGGATGGCCAATTAATCTTTCAATGTGCCAGTTTATGTGCATATTTGGTATTCATTATTGGAAACTACTACAAAATACAATAGCTAAAATTTAATTATTTTTTTCTTAAAGTCTACCCCATCTTTAATCCTGCATACCAAACATCCCATCGAAGTTTAGAATTTTAGGATGTGTTTTCTCATTTTTATTTGGAATAATGTAATGCGCATAATCACCAAAATATGTTAGAATCTTCTGCAAGTGATGTTCAAGACTTGTAGTACGACCACCCAACATCGAATCCTGGCTCCACAATCCTAGACTACAAGTTTTAGAAGTAGAAATTTCAAACTGGGAATAAATGGTCAAATATATACCTCATACAGATGCAGAATCACAAAAATGTTGTAGAGACTGTGTTCCTTGTGTTCGAAGCAGACAAATGCGTGTGAGCATAACCTATGAAGCAAAAAGGTTTCCCTCTTATGTTCCAAAAGCAAGATGTTAACATTAAGTTGCCAACCAGTGCAAGAGAGACACCACGGCGAAATTCAAAACTGATAAAAGAAGAATAATTCTTCTAAGATGCGAAGCTTCAAAATTTAAAGTAAAAATCTTAGTATTTTGACAGACATTTGTCAATAAAATATTCAACAAATTGAAGGAGGCTTTCAAGCAAGAAGGATGTGGAACCAATCTAATTTTCCGTTTCAAATATACGTTTCTTTTCTAGCATTTTTATGAAACAATTACACAAATCTTGTAACCAAGAGTAACAAACCTAATTATCATATCCATTGAGCAGAGAATCAAAGTCCTCTACTTATCAAATAAATCACTAATTTCAAGAAAACAATTTTGAACAATTCTATTCTATTATCCATAATGCTAAATAGTTAGTAAAATATATAAAATAATTATTTAAAACTCCACGACTCAAGATTTCACTTATTAGTAAAAAACAAAAGCAGAGACCTCCAAACTCACCAAGGATTGCTAACACTTACACAGCATCTTTCATACACTCCAGAGTAATTAGAAAGAAGTAGAATTATAAAGCTCCATGGCACATGAGTGTAAAATACACTCAATGATATTTAATAAGACTCGATAATGTTCTATCATTATGTAAAATCAAAATCACAACTAAATATGGTATCTATCAATTACAATATTCATTAATAATAATCTATTAAATATGGTAGCTTTCCTTATATTCCACTGCCATTCTCTCAAATTGATGATGGTAAAAATATGTCCTCTCGATAACCATCTGGTCGCGATGGGTACTGTTGCCATTATGACCAACATGACCGTCAGTCTCTTTGCAGATAGAAGCGACAACCTCACTATAATCATCCAAAGAAATCTCCAAAGATTTTAAAGTTCGTGTGAGGTAAGGTTTAAGCTTGACTGAACACTTCTCAAATACTCACACTTCTCAATTGCTCTCTCCCCCAATTTCATTGCAACTGGCAGAAGCTTCTCGTTGTTCCTTTTCGCTCTAGCCAAAATGACGGAAAGCGGTTCTGGAGAAATATCTTCACTCTCTTCTAATACGAGAGTCATATTAGACTCCATGGAAGAGAAGATATTTCTGGATGATACTCTCTTATGGCACTAAAAAATAATATTTCACTCAAATCGAAAACATTTCATTTTTTTATAATCATCTATTTTTCACAAAAAAAAAAAAAAAAAAAACCTATTTGCCCACCATTATAAATCTAAATATTGGGGGCCAAACGAGGGCTAATAATTTGAAACTTTCTTGTTTAAAATTTTAAATTTATCATGCTCTGAAATTGTATTGTAAACTGCTCCCCCGTCCCAATTATATAGGTCGAGTTTTCTTTTTTTCTTGTCCCAAATAAATAGGTCTGTTTTCTAATTTAGAATAATTAGTTTTATTTTTCTTTACCAATATACTCATTACTCTTATTCAATTTTCTCCACTTAATATGCCAACTTCTTACACATTCCCACTTCTTGGAAACATGGAACAACTCTCATTTCTTTTTCTTAAAATTAAATCATTCAAATTTTTTGTCAATTTCAACAATAATTTACTATTACATACTAAAAGTTCAAAGGGATTTGATTAAATACATAGTAATAATTTTTTGTCCCCTAATAATGAACATAGATGATGGTTCTAGATCTAGAATGTGAACTTCGATCTAATAGTTCTTTTTTGACAAATTATTATTAATACTTTTAACTAATAAAAAAATCATTAGCTATTATACGTGAAGTTTGCTACATGTACATAATATTTTGTACATAATTGGTGCCTCCACTCACATGGTGGGGGCCATATTCATGTGAGCCCCCCACCATGTGAGTGGAGGCACCCATTATGTACAACAAGTTTAATCCTTTCAACAAAAGTCCACACAAATTACAAGAAGATCGATGGTGACAGACCTCGTACTTTCTTGTTCAGATTTTTTACTCGAAATCAAAATCTTGTTAACATTTGAAGCTTAAAGTAGACATAGCGATAGAGGAAGGAGACTTCTTCTTTGGCGTCGGATTAATCTGCGGAAATCTCAAAGGTGTTACGTTTGCTGCCCTTTCCAAATCCATTGCTGATTGCATTGATTCGCATGCGGGCGAATTCTTGGCTATTTGGAAAGTGTGAAATTTGTACCGCGTACGGCCTTGTCATCACGATAAATTATCGTAATGCAAGTGTAGTTGGATAGACGACATTCGATCCTTTACCATCTCGTCCTATCCATTCCAGCAAAAACTGGGAAAAATGTACCAATATGTACGTTTATGCCGTTGAGGCACATAACAAATGCTGCACACAATAACAGCCAAGAAAAACCCGAAAGAAATTAACCTTAACCTACTTCCACACTTTAAAATGGTCAAAGTACAACAAACGCCCGGCTACTAGATTGCCGTGGATGTAACATGGTACAGTAGTATAAGCTGCTTGTACAATTACACAATCCACACACTAAATACAGTTCCTATGTTACTCCCGTATACATTTAACTATCCGTAGCATCCCGACACGCTGAACTTAAAAATGCATTTCAGGTTCATCGAGGTGTACAGATAATGAGAGTGAAATCAGACTCGTGAGTTTTTTTAAGTACTTTGCGATCAAGATCAAAGACACTACTGTTGCACGTAATTTTGGACATAATTACACCAAAATTACATGATTAACTAGTCGAGGATTATTCGGTATACAGATTCTATCAGCTTGCAGCCACAGCATCAGTCCTGGGGCTAGTATCAAGAAGCTGACGAAGCTTTGTTCCCGAGCCTTTATTCTTGCAAGTATCATCTTCATTCTCCCCGTCGCGGTTATTAACTCTTGCGAGTAAATTAGCCGTGCCAATTGGTTTCAGCCTTGGATCATCAATTTCGTGTAGACTTATCTCTGTTTGGCCTAGTTGTCCATCTTTAAGTTTCTCCTGGGAATTTTAAGCCTTTTTATTATGCGAAAGCTATTAAACATAAGACAAAAGAAAGAAGAGATGAACAAGTGAAATATCAGTACCATTAACGTAGTGTTCTCGATCTTCAGTTTATCCGAGTTTTCCATTAATTTAGTAATCTCGGATTTGAGCATAAAATTCTCATTAGTTAGCGTTTGAACCTTCATAGCTAGTTCCCCAGCCTCAGCCTGAGCAAGGAAGAGTAAGCTACGGATTAGAGAAAAATAAGCCGAAGGAAAAATGCAAATAAAGTCGTCTATTTTCAACTTTGACCATTAAAAGTATTACATTTATTTAAAACTAATTAATTTATTTATAAGCTAATATTTTAAGCTTAGCCAAACATGATTACACGGATACTACTCATACCTGCTTCCTCAACCTTGATCTTCTAGCAGATTCTCGATTAGACTGTTTCCTTCGCTCTCGCTTCAGATCCCGGTCATTCTGCACAGGCAAATTGAAAAGGCATGTCAAGAATCAAGATTAAAATTCTATATCCATTTTGAAACTAATTATTCAGGCACCCCTAACTGAGAGATTACAGTATGTACATCACAAAGCCAAATCAACTCTAGCCAGGTTTTTGAGCAGAGCCAGCAAATGACCTCCTTTGGTTTGCCAAAAATCTACTGATCGCGCACATAATGGAAACAGAGTAATGAGAGATATTCAGAACTTACATGCAGCCAGGCTTCATTAGTCTTGAGTGGTTGTGGCAATTTAGTTGCAACAGACTTCACTTTTGTGTTAGAAAGATCTTTGAGTTCTAGTGCCATGGAGACGTTTTCTGTAGCCTTTTTAGGCACCATGTCCATTGTACTGTTATGTGAATGAGAATTGCCCTCTACAGCTATCAGAAGGTTAAAACACAAGACTAAATTAGCACACACGTGTGGGAATGTGAGTAACATCTCCGTTTTTTTGAGAACTTCAAATAACAGGTCACAAATCAAGGCGACGAGTGCATTTAGATTGATCTTATCTTCAATAGATCATCAACTATGGTAGCATACAACCTGACTTAGACAAAATCAAATCTAGCTGTGAGGACTAACAAACTAAGAAATTTTTTAAAGGAAAACCAAAATTGTAAGGTAAGTTCACCACAAAAAACACACAACACAATTTCAGAAGTAATGATCATAATTTGGCATGAAAGTTTTCTAATTATGATTCTCAGACAAGAAAGAAAGCTTACCATTGTTAGGAGTTCCCTCCCGACTTCTTTTCTTCCCTTTCTGACCAACCTAGGAAATGATACAAGAATAATGGTATAGTTAAATATCTTTGAACTAGTACAAACACAAACACAAACCAAAATGAGAACTCATTTACCAGATGATTTAGTACATCAAAGAGATCCTTACCCCTGCAGTAATCCCATTACTTCCATCACTAGAATCTTCAGTTTCCCCGCTGTTCATAAGCAATAAAATCGACAATCAGTCAATAACATCGAAAAAAGCATGAACCAGGAGGAGTTCGTTTCTTCTACTAAAAGGACAGACGATCAGTTAATCATGAAAGCAATTGCCAAGTCAATACATATCAACAAACCTTTTGGAAAATCTAGGGTTAGATACACCTTCAGCACCGTCAGAGTCAGCATTGCTATTGCCTATTGACATTGCAAGCCCATTAAATTCTTTCAACTTCTTTACCATACTTCCATCTGTATTCTCAGATGACTTGGCTTGTGCAGCCATGCTCAAAGGAGTGCCACACTATAGAAGAACATAACTGTCGATGAGATCTTGTTCTTAAGAATGATACTGCCTGAGTTAAAATATCAAGGAACTGATTGAAGTTTGATAAAGGTGGAACTTACTAGAGGAACTCCAGGATGTGGATAAATGCTGCCATGTGCATAGAATGCCGCATATGGAGGCCCGTAAGTTGGCATCATAGCCTGGAAAAGATGGCTTTTTCTATGATTAAACATTTCGAAATTGGGCAGCCTATTTATCCAGGATGAAGAATCAAACAGAAACCCAGATGCTACCATAACAGATTGGGTAATACCTGTGGTGGTCCCCACATATAGGGGGGAGGGGAGTGACCAGGAGTAACGGCTGAGTTTAGATACGGCGGTACAGCAAGTCGAGGACCATAGTAAGCCTGGATATTAAACTAGCCAATAATTAGTATCGACGAGCCGTGAATATTAATGAGAACTCTATTTTCACTTCTTGACTATAGGAAGAAAGCATTGAAACAGAGTGAATAACCTGCATCTTTGCCCAATCAGGGAATGCGTGTATATTATGCTGGTCCTATCAAAGAGATAAGCATTTTACACCAACTCAGAAAAGACCTTATAAATTATTTTTGCAAACTATGTGCTCAAATTACTGTGCAGTTTTTTTATTTTTTATTTTTTGCCTACCATTACAGGCGGGGATGATTTCTCAGGCTCGGAAGGCTTCCCATCTTTACTGTTTCCCATTATAATGTACAAAGTGCAGTCCTTTATTCAATTAGTAACTCAAAAAAGATCTTTTGACCTTCCACTCAAAACACTGCATAAAAAAAATGTCAATGTAGCCTAGATCAAATATTTGGAATATGTAGAAACATTTTTGCACGCATCGATAACTAAAGACGAAGTACAAGAAAGCCAAAGTGGGAAAAGACGCAGGCTGATAATGAAATAGCTACGTGAGTTGTAAACGAAAAAAATTCCGCAAGTAGCCACTTCAAACCAACTTAAAATTGATCATGTTGAAAATTCGATACGATGAGATAAACAAAACTTCAGCTATTACGTTCAATCCACTATAAATTATATGTTCAGTCCTTCATTATGATTTTTCTCTCAAAAAACAAAATATGGTTCTTCATGTGAAAGTCTTGTAAGTATAAAGGAAAAGAGACAATCTTGATATTAAACATCGGACACACCCATTATTAACTGCTATATCCATTTCCGGCCCATCCCAAGAGCAAGGATTGTTATTAGAAAAAATATCAAATATAGTTGCTCTAAACAACAGACAACAACCAGAAACATTAAGATCAACAATCCATAGAGGATTAAAATCAAATTTTTTGTATATTTTAATAAAAGTTAATGAAATGTGTGGTTAAAAGTTGTGGACCCAAAAAATATGTGGTTCAAATTAGTTGTTGCCTTTAACTTAGATTACAATCTAATTTTAACTTCTACCAAACTGGGGCTAAGTCTTATTCTTGTTAAATTCAAGATCAGCCATCTAAATTAAGCCTTATTCTGGAAAAATTCTAGATCAGCTACGTAATTAAATATGATTAACTTCATTTACATTTAATTTCAAGATAAGTTAAAATTAATTCCACCTTTCATCCACCAAATCAAAAGGGCACAGAAGGATGAGGGCACTTTAATCTTTTCACATCCCCCCCCCAACACCGAAGAATGTAATACCCAACTACTTTTACTGTAGTAAATCAAGACATCCTAGTATGAAATGACAGAATAATCCTTTTTACAATCTAAAATTCCAAAACTAAACAGACATAAAAACAAACGAAGAAATTTTAAATCAACCAAAAATAACGTTAAATGTAAACTTAAAAAACAAGAAAATTTACAGTGATAAAAATAAATAAAATAAAAAATAAAAATTCACTCATTTAAATAAGAAAAAACCCAGAAAAGTTTAACCACAATTCAGAATTCAGCAAGAAAATATGAAACAGAATGTAAAACTAGTCAAATTTCATCGTACCTTAAATAATTCGAAGCCCAAAAACCTAATTATGAAGAAAAGTTAATAAGTCCAGAATTCAGAAAGTACCTTTACTTCTAAACTCGCATTTCTCTCTCAGAAAATAACAGAAAACGAGAGAGCTTTTTTTCCCAGTTTTCAGACTGTGATTTGAGGGAGAAGGGAGTAACGATCCTAGTCATAGAACACGTGGTCGTATAAATAAGGGCTCACATGATCGGTGTAAACATGTTGAAATTTATGACCTGTTTGTTATTAATTTTTTTAAGAATTTATAATTTGGTAATTTTGGAGCGATTTTATGAAAATTATTTTCTTTTAAAATATGTAATTTAAGGTAAACGAAAAGTTATAAATTCTCATAGAAATTTATTTTATTAGAAGAATGCACGAATAAAAAATAAATTTGAGAAAAAATAAGTCTAAAAAAAAAAATCAAACCAAGGCGACGATACTAATACGCAACTAAGATTCCTTAATAACATACATTACTCAACTAAAGTAATTCAAGACATCATAGTTAATTTTGATAGTGGGTCTTGTAAGTGACAAGGGTTTCATTATAATATTCTCTCTTCGTTCATAAAGATGGATTTACTAGTTTAATTGTAACAAATTATAGGTCAATTTCCTTATTAGGAATATAATTGATTTCTTAGTATATATCCTACGCCCCTGTTTGATCCCCATAAAATTAAATTACATTACATTTTATTTTTCTCTTTCCCATTTTCAACCACACAATCTTCCATAAAATAATATTACACGTAAATCGAAAACTTTTCCTTCTTTTTCAACCATTTATTTTTTAAAAAAATACTATTCCCTCCATTTCATTTTCAGGTAATGTGGGTCAAACGAGAGCTACATATAGAATGAAATCTGTCGAGCTTCAATAGCGACACCTTCAATTAAAGAACTAAAGACCTTATTCTTTTGATGTTGTCTTGTTATATTTATGAATTACTCCCATTTAAAAATATATATATTCAATATAGGGGTATCTTAGAAAAAATATAAATAAAAATTCAATTTTATTGATTATATTTTTAATTTGTATGAAAATAAAGACAAATATATTTTTATGGGACAGATAAAATATTAAATTATTAAGGGTTAAGGCAATAGCCAATAGGTAAGCTGGCTCATGAAATGCGTAACAGATATATTTATTTATTTATTCGTATGCAAACCCTTTACCGTACACGTGTCTGTTGATGGCTCGATCTACGCGGATTCTTGTTGGCCAACTAATAGACCAGTGCGTCATGTGGCTGACGTGTTCTTTGTTTTGAAAATTAAATGGAATTGATTAGTCTTTCAAATCCAGAATGGACCCACGGTTCTGCTCTTTTAAAGGTCTGTTTGGTGAGTCAGTTTGCAAAAAAATTTGCAATCAATCACACGATACGGTCAAGCTTAAAAAATTAGCAAATATATACTTTTTAAAATATGTTTAAATAGGTTAAAGTAAGGAGTGGAGGGTTTGGTTTGGGTCTATTCTACGAGTTAAGATTTATTGTTGAAAATTGACTGTTCAACTTGCTGTCATCATTGACAAATTAACACATTATTGAACACCTATTTTTAAGAACAAGTTGTGGTGAGAAAAAAGTTGGACAAATTAATTTAAAGTGATGGATCAATTAATTATTGGGTGAATGGCAAGTTGAATAGCAAATCTCAATTCCTGATCTACTGAAGTTTTAATCGATTTTTAGTACTAGAGCCTAGAAACATAGGGTGCATTTGATTTCCCGTTTTCAAGCCATTTTCTGTTTTTAGTTTTCGAAAATGTCTAAAACGTGTTTAGTCTGTTGTTTTTGAAAATGTATTCCGAAAATAAGGAAAAATTTATAAATAAAAATTCAAAAAGATTTTTTTCCGTTTTAAGTGTTTTCAGTTAAAAAACTCAAAACGCGGAAAATACTCAAAACATGTCAATTTTTTTTTTTTTTTTTAACTCAGGGAATGTATAGCAGTACTTTTAAAAATAAAATGTTGTAATCTGATACAATTTAGTGAAGCATAATAATTTTAAAATCCACAAAACATTTTTCAATTTCCATTATTGTTTTTTGTTGTTGATCAAAATTTGAAAGAACTATTATTTCTTTTTTTATTGTTCAAGTAACGGCAAAATACATCTAGAAGGATGAAAAGACGGACTAGCTATTTTCTTTACAACGATTCTTATTTTTGATCTATAAATTTATTATTTTATTTTTATAGCAAGAAAAAATAGTAAATTAACCAAGTTTAAAATATATATTATCCAGTAATATATTAGCATAAAATTATTATTAGATTAATTGTATAAATGTCAGAAAACAATTTCTAAAAATTTTAAACCAAACATATTTTCTGTAATTCGAAAATAGTCTCTAAAAAAAAAAAAAAATACGAATTCAAAACTGAAAATAGAAAATGGAAACGCAAATCAAACGCACCCTTAGTTTCTTAATCAGTTCTCAATATTGGCACCAAAATTAAAAACGAATAACCAAAATGACCCGATCAATTCCTTCTTTCTTTTTTCCTTCTCTTTATTTTTTTGGAACACATTAAGGTAGGTGCATTCATGCATTTAATCCATTTTCTTACGAAACATTTAAACCATTTTAAAATGTTTTAATTTGCATCACTACTTTGAAAATTTTAGATATGAAATCGACCTAAACCAAGTCGAAACAATTCGACTCGATTCAGGCTCGGTTGCATAATACAAATAGGTCATTTATAAGATACATATTAGTTCTAGATTTGGCTTTGAATTGAACTGTATCCACCCATACTTTGATGTAAATATTACTTATTTTGAAATTACGTAAACTCAAGATTTAATTTCAACTTTTTATTGATCAAAAAACTAATTATTTTAAGTTTTTTTATTTAGAGATGTTTGAGTAAGCTAAAAAGCATCTTAGCTAATGTAAATTTTTTAACTGATGGTTGAATGGCAGCAGACACGCCTAAGTTAATAACCTAATCAATTTTCTACCATTCTAATCGCTATGAATTAAGTATAATTTAGAAAAGTAATGATTTTTTATTTTATTTTTTTAATTAGACATAAGGTAAATAAATTGGGCCAAAAGATATTAGAATATTTTACTTGATAGGTTAATCTTTTTGAAATGAAACTCTAAATACAAAGAAATGGTATCCAGCTCCAAAGTGACACTGAGCCCCTGTTTGGTTCTCATTCTTTTCTCATTAGAATGAAAAATATGACCGTTATCCATCACATCAAGCCTCCAAATTTGAATTTATATTTCTTATATATGGTCCGTAATGACTATATTTTTCATCCTCATTCTTCAAAAAATGAAAAACAAACGAGAACTGAATGAATTTGAAGTTACAATGGAAAAAAGTTGGTGCGGCTCGAGTTGAATGACTATGAGTGGGAAAAAAAGTCGTAGTTGACTTTCACGACATTTGTACCATGTAATGAATGGTCCATGATACAATAGTAGAGTTAGACCTTAACTGAAGCCCATCAAACAATTAAACGTGTATCGAAATGACGTCTAACTTTAATTACACATAGGTTCATTATATTCACATTACTATTGTTATTTCTTGCATCAAATTTTAATTATAATAATTCTTCTTAATCTTTATTCGTTATAATATATATGTTCCTATTGATATTTCATAGCATTCTTACATTCAAACTTTTTATTAGTTAACATATTTTGTATTTAATAATAATTTATATTCAAAAAATTTGTTGAAATTTTCAATAACAACTTATTTTCTCATCATATTTGTTTAAAAAAATAAATAAATTTACAAAAATATTTTCCCCTCATTTCAAAGTATGGAAAAAAAAATATTTTAACATAAATCATCATCGGGACGAGATGTACTAATTAATGGATGGTTGAAGATAAAAAAAATTGACTAATTTCGAGCAAAGATCAAAGAATTTAACTGCAGTTAAAATATGACGTAACAAATAAAATTTGTGCTACTAATATAATCACCCTTTTCAGTTTTCACATGTATGGTAGATGATATTTTGTAAGAAACTAACATACTTAGTCTATCCTTTTCACCTTTTGAGGTAAAAATACCAAACATTAAAAATAAGGTTTTTACATTGTTACGCATCGAATCGATTGGTGAAACTCAAAGTATAAATCTATTTAGTTTATGTTCGTCAAGCTAAAAAATTAATTAAAATTTAATTCAAAATTAAAATTAATTTTAATTATACATTTCAAAATATTCAGAACTTTTCAATCTTTTATTTAATTATTTTTAATATTATTAAAATCAATTGTCAAGAAACTATAATTGTAGCATAATTGAATTTAAAAAGCATTTCAAGACATTTTCAAATCCCTTAAAGTAATCACCCCACAGATTCAACGACTTTGATGCATTTTGAAGTTTTCGCCAACGCTTTCTGACGCGGAAAAGCACACTCTCTATCCTCGCCACGTCATTTCTCCACCCTTTCTTGTCTACTCCTTGTTTTCAAACATTTTCCTATTCGCTCTTACCCAATAGGACACGTGTCCTCTTAGGGCCTACTCACTCTAACTAAAAGATATGCTAAACTAATCAAACCCGGGGCCACTTCTGACTCGATGATAAGGAGCTGTTTAATAAGAAGGACCAGCCTTATGAGGAATAGCAAAAACAACAAATAGAGATATGTTAAATTTGTGATTGCTTTATTATCAAACGGTTTCAACACTTAAATAGAACTGGGTACTGTTTTTACATCCAATAAAGTAGGAAATTGATAACAAACTAACCGATCAACTTATTCAATTTGAGAAAGAACATAAAATATTTTCATAGATACTCCACAATTGCCTTGACTTGAAGTCGTATCAAATCCCTCCTCAAGCAACACCCTTGTCCTCAAGAGTGAGTTCTGGAAAATGTTCTTGGATAACTTGAGGATCCTCCCAAGTTGCTTCTGCTGGCAATAGTCCTTGCCATACAACTAACACTTCAGATTTTTCCTTCCCGACTCTAGAGTTAATTACTGATTGAGGATGATGTTCGAAAATTTCTCCTACTGATGGTATATCTTTAAAAATTGTATGTTGTTCCCCAACCTTCAATTATGAAAGGTTGAAAAATCCGAAAGAGATAGCACTGGAGTTTGTGTCATGGCGATTTTCAGTTTCTCAAATGCATATTCTGATTAAGCAATCCACCTAAAAGAATCCTCTTTGAGCATGTTAGTAAGAGG